CATACTTTTTTCCTTCACGACAGTTCGTGAATATAATTTATACAGAACTTCTTTCAAAACTAATCATGTAGTGACTGGCCTACTGATAGTTGCTCAAAAATATCAGGCAACTGAAATACAGCATTGGGCTGATATTTTGTATAATATAAAGGGTGTGGTCCTTAAATTTAATAGTGACTAATCTCACCTGGGAGACTTGTATTTTTTAAATGTAGACTTTGTTGGCTTCCCTCCTGAGATTTTGAATCAGTAGATTTGAGATAGGTTCCCATAAGTCTGTGTTTTCATGATGATGTTGAAACGGGTGATCTCAGGGATTGTACTTAGAAGACATTGATTGTTGAGAGCCACAGCCAAAGGGGCCCCAGCAAACTTCCAGCTGCCGGCTGATGATTGGCTCACAGCCACCCCAGCAACATCTAGCTGATTGGCTCCTCTGCGGTGATGCTCATTGGGCTGTTTCCCTGCCCTTTCAGACCACGGAGCTGCTCATTGGGGGACTTTTTTGGCTCCGCCCACGTGACCCAGCCAATCGGCCTCAAGAGCAGGAGGATTGTGGGAGGTGGAGAGAAGCTTGTGTGGGAGAGAGGCTTGTGGAAAGCTGGTGGTGGCAGTTGAGGCTCTGAGGGTTTTTCCTCTGAGAGGCTGTTTTGTTTGGTGTGTGTGGTTCTAAAAATAAAGTTAGTTTCTTTTGACAAGTGGCTCCTGATTGTGCCCAGCCAGACTGCGGCAATTGATTTCAAGGACTAAGGAGAGAATAAAGAAAGAAGTGAGTTAGCACAAGTCACATATAATGCCTTATTTTTAATAAATTTTAGAAAAGAGTAAAAAGCTACTTGGGTGATCCTTTACAAGATTTGTTTTCCTCTTTACATAGAAATAAAAAGGCAAAAGAGAATTGTCCAACGATTATTTTGTTTTTCTGTCATTTAAACCTTAGGATCATTATGATTGTCTTTGAGTCTATATATTGGTGTAGTATTGCACATGATGAAAGAAAATCGGAGTCAAAATGAAACAAATCGAGAATCACTTTGAGTATGACACTAGTTTATTAGTGCAAGATATTTCTAAAATTTAGCAGAGAATATTTGATTATCAAGTGTTCTTGGAGGACCATGACATAGTACTGATGCATGAGGCACTATTTCTTTAGCAGTGGACATATTCTCAGATGTTCCCTGTCTGATACTCACATGCGCTAAGTGAGTATGGTGTTGGTTGAATAGGCTGAGTGTAAAGTGCATCTTATGGAGATCTTTTTACTATTTAGTTTTATAGTTACCTCAGTAACTAAAAGGCAGGAATATGATTTTAATTGAAAAGAAACTACTTACCTTTAACAGCGTTATGTCCTGCTAAGAGAAAGTTCATGCTTGACCAGTTTTTCCAGGTCTGTCTATATCAGTATAAGTCAGATTCATTGTAAGAAGATGGGTAACAGTCTACGCTAATTAAATATAGGAAATTAAAAGAAATGTCCTAGCAGTTAAGTAATCTGCACCTTAGAAGGCGGAAAGACAGGGAACCACAAAAATCATGTTTTGCTTTTTAAGTAATTATAAGTTTGCAAATGTAATGAGTGCTCAAAAACGAAAAGAAAATTGTGTAAAGATATTTCTTCCAAAGTGTCTTTCTTCTTGCTGTTAGAATTTTTGTAGCCATCTACATAGGAGAAGAAGGAGACTGAATGTTTTATGGTTTATGTTTCTGATTCATTTGTAAGAATTTCATATGAAAGGATTTTGGCAAAAGAAAAAAGATATGACACCTGATATCTGTAAATTAGTACCAAATTTGTAGTGAGAATTGATTGGGGTATACCACTTAAATTGTTATAAATAATTTTATGTTTTAACTAGTAACTTGCTTTAGCTCAGCTTGAGTATATTATTTCCAGTGCCACCATGATTTATATCACTTTGAGGTGATAATATAAAACCTAATAGACTGACTCCGATATATTTGACTTTAAAACTTGTAAAACATGAAAAAAGGTTCAGTAAGCCAAACATCTTAGAAAATAGCATTTGCTAAGTTTAGATTATATGTTGCATATGTTTTATATATAGACATACTTATCACATATATATATAGGTTACTTACACAGTAAATACTATGTAAATTGAATAATGGTTGAATGTAAGTAGTTTAAAACATGTGGTGAGTCTTTCATCAGCCAACAATAACTTATTTGGTAAATTTGATTCTAATATTGTTGGGAGTTTTTCCAGTGGAGTACACCTGTATATACATATGGAACACGGGCATGCATATATATGTACAAAAACTCTTAAAATAAATGAGTTCAACTTTTATAAACACTAAACACACTCTGCCTGTAAAATGTTTTGCTGCAGTTTGTATCATTAACTCAGATTTATACCTTCATGTTTGAGATTCACTATTGGAACTATCTATGCATGTAGATTTTTGTCAATTCCCTCTTCTCCCCAAATAAATCAGCTAATTAAAAAAAAATTGTGACCATTTTTATAAACAACTACTTTATTAAACGAATCATATTTAGTTTAAACATTAAGCCATTCCACCCACAAGGAATTTTTTTTAGAGTATGATAAAATCTCATGAAATAAAATAAATGAATGGTTTAAATAATTATTTTTAGTATTTTTGCTTTTTTAAAAAAATGTTTTTTAGCTTTAGGTGGACACAATATTTTATTTTATTTATTTATATATTATTTTATTTATTTTTTACTGTGGTACTGAGGATCGAACTCAGTGCCTCATGCATGCTAGGTGAGTCACAACCCCAGCCCCATATTTGCCTTTTTAACATTATATTTTTTTGAGATGGTGATAGGAGTTAAAAGGATAAGGTTAATATGTTTTTAAACCTGTTGAAATACAAGCTTGTTAGTATTTTTCAGTGACCTATGTTAATGTGACAGAAAGAACAATTATATGTATTAAAACCCTGCAATACCTTTTCTTCATTTTTCTTACACCCAGTGGCAGCTACCTTTTGTAAGCTGTTGGAGCCCCCTTCCAATTGGAGTCAAACTAAAACCTTGAAAACTAGCCTAAAATGTTCCATAAGGATTGATTTATATCACCACTAAAAAATACGTATCTAAAATAATGAAGTATCACTAATATATTTGCCTATACATATGTACTGACCTATCAGTCAAGATTCAGCACAGAAAATTGTGGTGTGTTTGCAACTTTTGGACTGGCCTGGTTAATTTAGGGAATGGTACAGAATTGTATAGAACTTTGTATTCTTCCCAGTGTCCTGTTTACTTGATGTTCTTTCTCTGTCCATTTGCTGCTGCTTTTTCAAAGTAGTCCTTAGTTTTTTTCTTTGAACAAAATTTGGGTCTCTTGTATTATTCTTACCCTTTATCTAGTCTTGAGTTTCCCTCTGCCCTTAAAACATCCAGATTCTTTTTATGTGTTAAATTATTTGCCTCCCACGTTTTTATCCAATTATGAGCTTTGAAAAGGGAGCATCTTTTCATGAGGCAGCCTTCCTTTGTGATATGCTCTCCTTGCTGAGATGCCCCTTTCACCTATGTGGAACCTGCTTGATTCTCACATAGAAAGCTACTAATGTGATCCATTTGAAATGAAACTTAACCAGGCACCTCCTTGCCTGAAATCTTTCATTTGTTTCCTCTTTCTTGTCTAGTAAGAAAGGAAAAAAAAAAAATCCAAGTTAACATGCTGTATAAAGCATAGCTTCTACCTTTCCTTTTTAAAAAAAATTTTTTAATTTAATTTTTTTTAGCTTCTACCTTTTCCATTTTGATATTTCCTACCTCAGCCAATGCTTTTTTTTTTTTTTCCAATATATCATATAGCCTCAGACCATCTGGGTTTACTCAAAACTAGTCTCTGTCTAGAATGCCCATTCTCTTAACTTCACTTGGCTAACTCCTGCATATCCATGTAGGCCTCAAGTAGGCATTATTTTGGTTCTAGAACCCAGTACAGGTTGCTGAGCCATGTGGGTGGGAGATGGTGTGCAGAACTCTTGGCACATGTTTAGTTAATAGACGAGCAAAAAGAGCATGTAAAACTCAACTGCAGGAAGTAACTGCTGCCTAAGGTCAGTTGTGACCATTTCATGTCATTCTAGTGTGTATATTTCATTCTTTTTTTCCTTCAGAGACCAAGCTTGTTAGATGGAGGGATCTGATAACTAGGTTTTTAAACATTCTGATCTTTTTACAGACTTTAATTGGCAAACATGAGACAAAGTAATCAGGTATATTCAAAATATGGTAGTTGTGTTAAGGACTTTCTGTCATCCTAGAATCCTGTGTTTTAGGTAGCTTTTATTTTCCTCTGGAAAAATGTTCTTTATCTCTGAAACGTAGGGTTCAAAACTAAAATGTCAAAAATATGAAGTTACCTGCTCATCTTCTTCCTGATCTTATATTTCAATTTCTAAAGACAGTTCTTGTTCCTGGGAGATTTCCTTTATGTCATTATAAATAAATAGGCTATTCTTCCTTAGCTGCATCTGCTAAGCAATACTGGCAGCCCTATTACTAGGATAGTAACTTATTGGTAATTGGGCTACACGGCAGCCTGATTTGTACTACAAAGGTAAAAATCATTATGCTGCTTCTTGCTCAACAACCACTTATTGAAAAGAGATTGAAAAGGGTATGAAGACCTGCTTTTCAGAATGTCAATAAAGTGCTTCCTCACAAGTCTAGTTTACCTTCTATGTTTTTCTTTATTGTAACACTCTTCCTGGAGGTGACTAGACTACATAAGACAGCCACCTGTTAGTCACATGCCAGCATAAATTATAGATAAATAGCTCCTCATAAGCCACCACGGTGAGATTGCATTGCTTACTTTCAGGTAAATTCCATTATTTGTCCTATTTTTGTGTTTTTATCTGGGAACTCCAGGCACTTTTGCAAGACTGGGAAGAATAAAAGATTAAAAATAATTTGGGAATTTTTTACAAATAACAGAATGGCTTGAAATGATTTTGAATGTGGTTGATGAAAAAAAAGAACTCAAATGATGAGGTCTTTGACAGATTATAAAATTTTTATGTTTATTAAGAGCTGGGGAAGAATTGCATAGGCCTTGTTAAAGCAAAGCACATAATAAAGATATGGCATTATAGACTTTATACCATCTTTTCAGTGTACTTCACATACTAGGTAAAGTTCTGGAAAGCAGTTGAGAAGTTCTGTTTGGGATAACATTGCTTAGGTTTAGAATGAAATACTTTGTGGTCCCTCAACATCAGCATGCTTTATGCTTCTTTGGTTGTCAACTCACAAGTTAATTTTACTTGACAGCACCTGCTACATGAAGTGATGTCACACCATGCCCAAGATACGGGCAACCCACCAGCTACATGGCATGATAACTCTACAGGCCGAACGGCAACCTTGATAATTATAAGGCCATGGATAATATCCCCCCAGGGGTTCACAGATCTTCTGGCAGTGGGTGTAGCTCCGCCTACATTCTATACAGCAGATTCCTTCGTGATCCAGTCTAGGATCAAATGTCATGCTTTCTCCTTCCTGCTGCTGTGAAATAAAACAGAATTATCTTTATTTTTCTTCATAATGAGGTTATCGCACATTGTTTTAAAGTCTGATCCTGAGGTTTTTTTGGACTGAATACGCCATAAGAGATCAGCAAAATCTACTTGTAACTGCCATCATTTAGAATGTCTTCTGACATGAAGGAATCCTCACCTACCTAATCTGTTATTGACAGAAAATTGTGGGGTTTTTAAATGGCACTCTGAAGTTCTTCTGTGCCTTTAATGAGCCATGATTATGAATATTCACACGTGAATAGTATGACTCAACTAGTTTCAAGTAAGAAAATAAATACTATGATCAAAAGTAGCATTTCTGCCGCTGCTAATTTTAAGTCAGTGAAACACAGGTGCCCTTCTTTAGTAATTTTTTCCAAGGCTCCAGAGTGCACATATTGAAACCCATGGGTCTAAGCTAAGAACAAGTTTTAGTCCCAGTTCTACTTGCTTCCAGAACATTGTCAAGTCATTTCATTTCTCCTGTCTTCTTTTCAGCAACAAAATGGGAATGTTATCTCCATAGAGTCATAAAGGGTCTATAACATTCAAGATCCATAAGAATTCAAGACAGCTTTGCCAACAAAATCATAATTGATGTAAAAATGTCTTTTCATTGCTGGGGAAATTATAAAGCTGGGAGGAATCTGTCCCCTGCTCATTTGCATATCTGGTTTACCTTTTCAAGAATATCTAGGGATTAAGATTCTGTCCGCTCTAGTATTGCCCCTTAAAATTCTCATGTTCGTTTAACTCCTTGGAAGTAGCTGATTGGTGTTGGTGGGAAATGTAATCTTAATTAGGAGGATAGGTGTTAAAATTTTTAAATTTATTTTAAAAATTGAAAAAACTGAATATTGAACATAAATACACTTACCTCAATTTGACAAATTCTGACATGAATTTGAAGAGAATTGAAGGTATTGTAACATTTCATTTATAAATACATTAGAAATGCCTCCAAAATAAAAGGACATTTTCCTACACAACCACACTGTCATTATTGCACCTAACAAAATTAACAATTCCTTAACACTATCTGATTCAGCCATGTTCAAATGCCATCTTCAAATATCTTACTCTGTTTTTTATTTTTATTTTTTCTCTCCTTATCGCTTTGAGATTAGATACATCTGGAACAAAAACAACCAACTGAAATTACAGCTGACTTTTTGGGCAATGGTGTCAAAAGATCTGCTGGTTGAGGTCTTATCTGAGGATTCAGCAAGATTTGTCAGGATTAAAAAAAATGTTACTGTAAGATTCTTTAAAGGAATATGTGAAAGACAAATAATGGCCAAACATATAATAAAGGGAAATATTGTTATAACTGGAGTGTTATTTAAAGAATATGGATCACTCAAGTCTAGAACCAGGGCAAAGTCATCCTACTCTTCTGTAAAGGGGCTGATACCCTCATCTTTGGAACTGATTTCAGGCCACCCAGCCACCTCCAGGATCATCAACTTTTGTTTGCCACCCAGCCACCTCAAGGATCATCAACTTTTGTTTGCCTATTCAGATTTCATTTCTTAGTTGTGCTTATGGAAATACTATGGCGCCCTGAATTTTCTGATAAGATCTGGGATTATTTAAAAAATACTGTTGGCTTTAAATCTTTCTAAAACATATTAGCCTGATATGATAAACTAGAAAATACATTTGTATGAAGCAGTGTAGGACTGAATGCTTCACACATGCACACAGTGCATGAAAAGATGGTCAGCTTTACACATAATAAAAGATGAGCAAGATAAGACTTAATTTTTTTTTTAAAGTTTGATGGGTGTGTAGCTAAATTTTAGAGGACATGCTCAATGTGTGTGAGGACCTTGATCACCCCCAGTATCACGAGAGAAAAATAAAAATTTTTTTCTTTCGATAGTAAGTGGGTCCTTCCATTACCATTTGCAGACGTGGCTGGTATAATTCCTTAGCAGCTTGGTATCCGTTAAAATATAAGAGTCCCATCTACTTGTATGTAGCAGACCCATGCTTCAGTATGCTAAAGACAACGTGTGCAAAAGATACAACAGCTAACGATGAACAAGTTAATGCTATGTACTAGTCCCTGTGCTAAGACTTCACCTGCATTCCCTCATTTACTCCCCATATCCCTGTGAGTTCTCTAAAGGTATTTGCTGTAGAGAAATGATTTATATGCCTACCAAAGCAGAAATATGTAAGTTTATGTACATCCATATGTTGGAATACTACTGAATGAAAAGATACATAGAATTAATGTGTATTATGTAGGAGTTATAGGTAGCCTTTAAAATGTATATTAAGTACATGTAGAACTATGTAGGAGATATGGAACAAGTTCCAAAATACTGTATTTTTATGGAAATGAAATCAAGACATTGGCTGGGGATGTGGCTCAGTGATAGAGTGCTTGCCCAGCATGTGTGAGGCCTTGGGTGGGTTCAATCCCCAGCACCAAAAAAAAAAGGAAAAATATTATATATATATATATATATATATATATATATATATATATATATATATTACACACACCCATAACCTGGAAAGCAAGGCATAGAATTTTTGTGTTACAGTGTGTTTGCACATATGTGTGTGTGTGCTTCTGCAAAGAAACTGGGCAAATAATAATTAATAGGCTGCTGCTGGCAGGGTGTCTGGGATGGAAGGGAAACACTTTATATTGTTCCCTTTGTAGAGTTTTTTTTTTTTTTAAAGTGCATACATTTTTTATTTTAATAACTAGTTACAAATATGTATATTTTTTGCTGCCTGCAAAATACAGTAACTGTAAATGATACTTCTTTGAAGATTTTGAGTTTTTAGCACTTTAGTGCCATCCTAACAAACATCAATTCTCCAAGTTGCAGGCTAGTGTTTTCATCTGTGTTTGAGTCTATCCCTTCCTTGAGGGCTGAGAGCCCTCAGGGCAGAAGTTAATAACTGTGGGCACAGGGCCTGAGAAAGAACAGGTTCTTCACAGATGTCTCTTAAATGGATGAATAAAGTGGATTTAAAGAGGGAAAGAGAATACTTTCACATTGTGTGTTGCTTCCAGGGTGCATACACTCTTGGAAACAGTTTTAAATAATCAAATACATGATATGAATTTGTTTTCATGGATTTTCCTGTGACAAAAGGGGAGAGCAAAGAAAGTAACTTTGAATAGAGTTAGAACCAATAAGGACTTTACACTACAGAGGCAATGTTAAGTGTTCTTACCCTTAATTATAAACCTTTTGCCAAACAGATGAAGATGTATTTTTAAAACAACTGAGTAAAGTTCTCAGTTGAATATTAAGTGCTTGTATGAAACCTTAAGTAGAAAGACCATTTCAGAGTTACGTTGAATGCATTCCTCTGGGCATGTCACCAGAACACCAGTACGCACATGGTAAGGATTATCAGGATTGAAGGGTTCAGCATCCTCTTGAACACTGGGTCTGGTTTCATTATTCAGTCTTCCAGGGCCTGGGCTGCCCCGGGACCTACTGCGTGGTCTTCTTGTGGTCATTGGAACAATTTTTCTTGCTACTTCTCTTCTTTCTCTCTGGATTTCTGCAAAAATTGATGTGTATTAATCCATTTATTTGATTAAGCAAGTTAGATCTGCATTTTTTTTTCCAGGGTGAAAAACATAAGAATGTCAAAGTATAAACATGAGTACTCTTGTAACTTTTTGTACTGATGATTTTATGAAAGCATCTTTTAGAGTCTTGGGTCTGTAGTTAAGACATACAGATAATTCGTTTTGGTTTTATAATACTAACTGAAGCAGACATTGAAAGATGTTTGACAAAATCCCATTCTCAACAACTGTTTTCTTTTACCATTTCACTATGGGGCTGAGTAAATAAATACTATTGATTTTCTCTGCCTCCTTTACAATTAGGAATGGACAGATGACCATATCTGGTAGACATAAGCAGAATATGCTAGTGAAGCTTGTGGGAAAGTTTGTTTTATTGGTACAACAGGACAGATATAACTTCCTCTATCTTATTTACCCTTCCTGAATGTAGATGTGATATCTAGAGTTATAAGAGCCAACCTGTGACTATGAAGTGTTAGGCACAAGAATGGTAAACCACCATGCTACAGATAGCAAAACGCTAAGTTAGAAAGAAACATGATAGTATCACAGAGAAGCTAATAATGCTAGAAACTTCATACCTCCAGGCTTCTGGCTGTTAAAAATAATTTAAAACAAAACCATATTTGTTGAAACCACTGATCTGTATTCTATTTCTCACAGCCCTAAGTATTCCTCAAAACATCTTTTTATTTAATGGTTTTGGAAACTGAACCGAGGGCCTCACATATGCTAGGTAAGCACTCTACACTGAGCTGTATCCCTAGCCTAATAGACCAGTAATTGTAACTATTCCTAAAGGATTGGCTATATAGGTATAAAGCTTTACAGTTTGCAGAGTACATTATCTTGGCTGATTCTCATAAAAAGTTCTATGGGATTGAAAAAGCAGCCACTGGTATATATGAGAGCCTCAAGTCTTGGGAAGACCCAGGTGGCCTGGCCACAATCACAGATGTGAATTCTGATTCCAAACCCCCCCTCTAGTTAATCACACTGCTTCATACATCAGGCAGTGCCACCAATGGCCGAATAACAGATGAAAAGTACCATACAGTATGCACTTTGGTGTCTCCCTGTGCTTCAGTTTCATCTGTAAAATGAGTATAAAAATATTTACTTCATAAGATAGTGACAAGGTTAATGAAAATCTATATCTAAAGGTTTTAGCACAAGTGTTTATAATCACTCAAATGTCAGATGATGATGATGATTATATCATGCTTTGTTATTTATGAACACTTAGTATGCTTTAAAGCTATAGATAACTTTGGATAAACATCAGGGAGACCTGGATTCAGTCCACAACTCCTTTTACTAGCTGAATGACCTCAGGCAAATTACCTAATCTCTGTGAACCTTGGTTTCTTCATCTGTAAAATAGGAATATGAAGAGTCACCTCAACAGTTATTAATGAAGATTAAATAAGGACAAAATGCAATGCTCTAGGGAAGTGCCTGGTGCAAAGTCAGAGCTCTGTGGACATCGGCGCTCTGCTTCCCTTCTGACCTGCATCCAGGCACCATTTACAGCATCTTTGATAAATGACCCCAATGACCTTCAGGCTTCCAAATTGCAGAGCAAGGGCTATTGGACCCTGGAGTTGAGGGCATTTATTAGAATTAGAGGGGAAACAGACACCATCTAGAGGGAGGTTTATTTTCTTGATTTTATTGTAAAATACAATCAACAAAAGATTGAAGCAAGCTCTGCCCTTTGGATGGGGTCTCACTAAGTTGTCTCAAACTTCTGATCCTCCTACCTCTGACTCCCAGATGGCTGGGATTACAGATATTTTCCACTGAGCCCAGCTTAACCCTTCATTACCTTTATTTTTAATATTTATATTATTCCATTCTTTGGAGATATAAATATATGTATTTGGAGATATGTATACATATACATACTTATTATGAATACATTTATATTTATATATAAAATTTTGTTTATATGTAAATGTATAAGATATATAAATGTATTTATATATAAACAAATATATAAAGGATAAATATGTTTTTAACCCTTTTCTAATCTTGGGGCATTTGGCTGGTTTCTACTTTTCTCATGCACAGAATATATAATTCTTTTTATTTATTTTATTTTTTACATTCTAGGGATTGAACCCAGGGTCTTGTGCATTCTAGGCAAGTACTCTGCCACTGAGCTATATCCCCAGTCCCATATGTGTAATTCTTGTATGGATCTTGTGATGATTGAATGTTGTCATGCAATTGGACTGTGAGGGATCAAGGAACATCTTGGATGAAAGAAACAAGCTCCTTCCCAAGGGTGAAGTTACTCAGTGTCTATCATTTAGCACTGATAATTATACTGTCTTCCCATCCCCACTCCTCACCCCCTTGTCCTGCACTGTTATTTTTGCATAGCACCTTGTGTCATACTATATAATTTTCTTAATTTAATGTCAATTATGTCCTCTTGCTACAATGTAAAACTCCTTGATGGCATGAAATATTGTCTGTTGTTCACTGATGCACCTCAGAAGCCTTAAATAAGTTATGTGGTACATGATAGGTTTGTCAAATGAGTGAATGAACTCTGGGTAAGAGACTTTGTCTTCAGACAGAATGTGATTGGGGAGAGCTCTATGTGATAACAGTGCGGGGACTCTTGTCCTTGACTGGAAAATGTAGTTCCTGGGTAGTAGAAAGCATGAAGGCTCACTGTCATGGTTTGGATCTGTAATGTTAACCCAAAAGACTCATGTGTTGACAGCTTGGTCCTCAACGCAGCAGTGTTCAAAGGTGGGGTTTGGGGAAGTGATTAGATCATGAGGGCTCTAACTTTAGCAATAGGTTAATTCATTGGTAGCTAAATGGACTACCAATGAAAGTCCATTGGAAACTCTAGGCAGTGGGACATGGTTGGAGGAAGTAGATCACTGGGAGAATGCCCTAAAAAGGTTTATCTTATCTCTAGCCCTCTCCCTACCACTCTTTCTTTGCTTTCCAGCTGCCACAGGCTGAGCAGCTTTCCCCTGCCACACCCTTCTGCCTAATCTTAGGTGCAGAGCAGTGTAGCCAGCCAACCATGGACTAAAGCCTCTGAAACTGAGAAAAAATAAATCTGTCCTCCTCTAGTTTTTTTTTTTCCTCAGATATTTGTCATGACAACAAAAAGCTGACTAACAGCCCCACCTGGGTGAAGGAAGGTGGGGAATGGAAAGCAGGATTTTGGCAAGTGACCATAGAATTGTGTTACAACCACAGACCTGAGCAAGAGCATAGATGAGAAAAGCACAGACTATTTGGCAGTCCTTCTCCAGCCCCTTGGTGACAGATACTACTTACTGACATGCCTGGCAGCCACTGTCAGTGGCTTATGCATTGGATTCTGTCAGCTTGTCCTGGGTTAGAGAGTAGCCATCTCCTCCAGGCTTTGGAACAGAATAGGAACTAAGAATAAGTTAGTCATGGAAGAATCAGAAACCTATACTTTCTCAGCCTGGTGGGGTATTGTTTTAATTGTGGTAAAACCTATAAACAAAAATTTTTCACTTTATAAACATTTTAAAGTGTACAGTTCACTGGTATTAAGTGCATTCACATTGCTGCACAACCATCACCGTCCATCCCTGGAACTCTTTTCATCTTGCAAACAGCTGAAACTACCTGTTAAACACTAACTGTCCAGAACAAGTCTCCCACCAAGCCTAGTGGCTCTAATGCCTCTACTTTCTTCATTTCCATTCTATTCTTTTCTGGTGTTCAATAGAATATTTCAGAAAACAGCCTATCTCAGCTGTGTGAGGAGAAAGGCTTTCACTCCTTCCCCTCCTTGAACCAGAGCTACAAAGTAGACCTTGGGAAGGTCAATGACTGCAGTAGAAATGAAGTGAGAAGTCCTCTAGAGACAGGAAAGACTCAGGGGAAAGAGTGAGGCCTGCTGGTCTCACCTGCCCTTTGTCACCTGGAAATAGCTCAAAAATATGCTCAAGCTTAGAAGTTGAGGAATACCCACAGCAGCTTTTGGCTGTCCCATAATTCTAGGTTTGAGCATAATAAAGATTCGGTGGCATGACAGTTTCTTAGTCCCTTGATTCTATGCCTTAGGAATAAAAAAAATGTAAAATTGGAAGGTGCAAACAAGTGAGATTAAGGGGCACAGCGGCAAGAAGTGGGAGCATCATAAATAAAAGTCGCAGGTAATGCAGTGGTGTTCTGTCTTCCTGCACTGCCTCCTTTTAACCCTGTTGCTCTTTCCCTTCCACACGGCAGTCACAGCTGTCATTCTCCTTTTATCTCTCATGCTAATTACCAAGACACCATCTCATGCATCCTGATGTTATCTTTCTTGTTACATGCTCAGACCTGTGGAGAGGCAGGGAGGAATCTCACAGGACCAGGAAGAATTCCAAGCACCATTAAGAGAACTTAAAATGTTACCTTTTGGATATGTGGGTTTAAGCCAGAAAATAGGAAGGTTGCCACAGAGTTCTAAGACTTTAGAACTCAAGAAGCTGATGTCCTTCACAGGCTGGTCAACAGCTACCCAGATAAGAGAATTTTCTTCATATTTAACAGGCATGATCTTGCCTTCCTGAAATTAAAAATGAAATGCACATGAGTAAAGAAGATGGTGGGACATGCTTCAGATTGAATTGTGGGTTGCTGAAAGATTAGTTTACCTTGTAAAAACAGAATTCTGTGTGTGTCTTGCATGTGAGTGTGTGTGCCATGCACACACACTTTCAGGTTTCAATCTCTTTGTAGCTCTCTTCACAGTATTCAGCACACCTCCTGTTACCCTGCCTCTGGATAGCTGTAATGTGTGAATGGAAGTGTTCTGTGTTGAAGTGAAAATTACTTGATACCAACTTTGAGATTTAGGTTAATCTAATGTTTTCGATCAAAGATTTTTTTTTGCAAAAAAGCAATTGAACAGACCCTGAAATCCTATAAAGGATAGAGGAACCCTTCATTTGAAGTGAAAATCTTTTGGGGTTTTGTTCTGCGGTTTCCTAACAACAATGGAAAAAGCAAGTGATTGGTTCTTTAATGTCTCCAGTTCAAAGTAGTATTTAACATAAACCATTTCTCCATTTCTCAGCTATAACAAAACATGTTTCAGATGTTCCTCACATCAGGCACACCACTGAGATTTCAAAGCTAAACCCTAGATTTTCTTCTACAGAGAGATGCTGAGGATGGTTTGATAACCCAGGAGACAAATTTATTTTTGCCAGGTTGTTCCTTTCATGTATTTATTAATTTGCAATAGGTTGGAGAAATTAAAATGTTTTCTCCTTACTTTTCAGTTAAAAGCAGCACTTCATTTATGCTTTCTCCCTCAGGCTTATGGTTGCATTAAAACAACTTAAAGTTATTGGAAGAAGCTAACACTCAGGTAATCCAGTTATTTACCTTAAATTAAATGGCTCCATCCAGGAAATGAATGCTCTCTGAGTACAGTAGCTTTTTAAAGTTATATCAAACTGATAAAAAATTTGTGGGAGTAAGTGATGCATAAATCTGCCCCATCATAATCTAAAGTATGTGGGGGGAAATGGAATGATAGGGATAATGCATATAGATGCATTCTATAAGCTAAGGATGTCAAATAAATCTTGGGGCACATACTCGAAGTTTCTTATCCATTCCTTCCTCCTTCCCCTTCCTCATAACACAGTCCTACTTCCTTGGAGACAGCCCCTGCCAGGATAGACACTTGCTTTCTCATACTGTCCAGTGGCCTATGTGCCTGGCTGGCCAGTGCTGATTATTGAAATCCAGGCTGGAGTATGTTGAGGAACTGAGACCTAATTTTACCTATCAAATTTAAATCACAGTTCACCCTGTTCAGCCTCTTTTGGACTAAAGAAGAGGTTGTGTGGTGCCACCACGTTTGGAATTGGAAGGAAAGATAAAAATAAATAAATAAAAATCAAAGAGATGCTGGCCCCTGAGCAATTCCACAGCTGCCTACTTCTGCACTGCTTACTGTGGGAGAAAAACAAGTCCCTATTTAAGTTACTCTAAGTGAAGTTATCTGCTGCTGACAGCCAAGCACACGTCTAATTCACACAGTGTATCGGCTGAATTGGCTTTTATCCATCAGAGGGTCCATCATGCATGATACAAACAACTAAAACACAGGACAAATAATCTACCTCTATGGCAAAAAAAAAAAAATCAGGTGCAAAAATTGAAATACAGAAATGTTTACCATGGTGAATTATTTTTTATTCAAAAATAATTATTTTTAATTATTATTTTTTGAAATAGTGAAAAATTGAAGATAATGGAAGTGTTCAAGAATAAAAGACTTTTGGGCTGAGGTTGTGGCTCAGTGATAGAGCACTTGCCTACCATGTATGAGGAGGCACTGGGTTCAGTTCTCAGCACCACATATAAATAAAGGTCCATCTACAACTTTAAAAAAAGAATAAATGACTTTGAAAATTATAATCACATAATCTACATGGTAATCTACATTTTAAAAGAACTAAAGTGAAAATAATAATACAGCAGTCTCACATCACTTATGAAAATAATATCTGATACACACCCACCAACACATAAAATCCACCAAAATGTTAACATTAGTCATCTGTGGATTGTGCCATTGTGGGTTATTTTCTTCTTTAAATTTGTATGTATTTCCAAAATTTTCTACAGTAACTGTTGTTTTTAAAAATCATGGAAAAAACATCAAAAAGTAACTTATAAAATATACTGTAGGCTTATGAGTAGATATGGGTAAGCTATGATTGGGGAGCTGGTTCTTATGGAAGGCACAGAGAATGAGTCCCATGTCCTTTTCTGGGGAGGATGGCAAGGATGATAGTTCACTAAAGTCTTTATGATTGAAAGTGAGTGGTACAAATGTATTTAATAAATAGTGATAATGCAGTAAGAGAGTTTCAGGGGTCAGAGCAAAGGAGGCATGGTTCCCATTTTTAGATTGGCATCAGTGGGTTACACAGAGAGCATGGGCTTCATTCTGAGCTGCTCAGCTCAAGAGGAACAAAGAAATGTGATCAGAGGAGAATGGCTGGACCAATGGAGTCTGGAAAACATCTCACAGGATGAATGCTGGGGAAACAGGGAGTAAGCAAGAGAAAAGAGCTCATGGTGGGCCACTTTCAAAACTTTGTTTTTTAGCTTATGCTTTGTTTTGTTTTCAGATAACGCCTGCTGCTGCTCCTTTGGGGGCAAACAATCAGGCAGTTTCCAGGCACCTTCGCTTACCCATATTTTCCCTCTTTTGCCTTGAGGGAGCTAACACTTGCTGCGCTTCCCTCTCAGGGATACTGGAAGGCTCAGAGATGATCATAATAAAATTAGCAATAATGAGCAACAGTCTTTCATTCAACATCTAGTAGATTCTTTAGGATCATGGGCACAGTGTGTCTACCCCCAATTTTCAGATGACAAAACTGAGACTCAAGGAGTTAAAGCCACATCCACAGCACTAGGATTTGAGTCCATGTTTTTCTGATTCCAAAGCCCATTTTCTTTCCACCATACTTGGAACAACTTAAATGGTACACCATAATAGGTGTGACTACTTTGTAAGACCTAACATCATAAAACCATAAGGTGTGATTGTTAAATGTGTCTTTAGAACTCTGTGGAATTCTTAGTGAATTTTAAAAAGATCAAACTTAAAAGGCAATTTACTAATAATAAATGAAAGAACTATGTCAACAAAATTCATAAATTGATATACATAGAAAAGGAATTAAATATATGTTACATAGCTTTCTTGCACTGACCTTGAACTAAAAGGAGGAAATTGTAGAGAAGCCATCTCAGTTCAATGTTGGGCAAAACAATTTAGAACCTCCCTTGATAAAGCTTCTGGCCCATAGTTGGTGCACCTTATCATAGCTTTACTGTGGAATCTTAATCACTGATCAGATCGTTTCCTAACATCAGGCAAGTGAGGGTCATGTGGGGACCAAGCCCCTTTCTGCACTTTTAAATGTGACTTCCCCAGATCTTTAATACATCAACTCAGAATGATCCTTTGGAACCAGTAGGACAAAAATAGTTTAAATTGCTTTGGTAGAGAAGAAATAAAACTGAGGTCTGGTCATGAACCTGACCCTGGAGATGGAAGGGGTTGTGCCTTCAAACAGTAGCTGCCAAAGCTCTCACTGTCTGAGCAAGTGGGTACCCACCAGTTGGGAGGAGATGCTTTGTTTGGTCATGGTGCCCACCTCCGGAAGACGAGCCTTCACCTGTGCTTTGATGTAGCACTTCTCTCCTCCAGCAAAACGGATTCCTGTAATGCCCTAGGAGATAAAAGTATATCCATCCGTCTATCCATTCATTCATTTATTAACTGTTATGATGCAGGCACTATTCCAGGTGCTGGGTATGGGGAATGAAGAAACCATAAAAATCCCTTCTCTCATGGGATTTACCTTTTACCATTATTTACTAAAAATAAAACAAAGTCAGGTAGAAATAAGTGTTGTGAAGAAAATAAGCCAGAGAAGGATAGAAATGTCAGGGAATGGTACTTTAGGCAGCATAGGAGAGGAGACTACAAGGGGGTAATATTTGAGTGGGTCAGAATATGTTGGTGACTCCACTGATGACCACAAGTTCAGATGAATTGCTAGCTTTTCCACAAAACCTCTCTGAACTCCCAGTTCAGGTGAGTCCGTCCTCTTGTCTCTATCTCTCATTTGGCATTTAGTCTACACTGTTTATTTAGTTACAAGCTTAAGCTCAGTATCTTTGTCTTATTTCTTTTTTCTTTTTGGTGATCCTAAACAATTTCTCAAAAGATGTTGGTCAGTGCCAAGCACAATGGCACACACCTGTAATTCCAGTGACTCAGGAGGCTGAAGCAGTAGGATGGCAAGTTCAACGCCAGGCTCTGCAACTTAGGGAGATCCTGTCTCAAAAATATATATATCTATACCCATATTGATATAGATCTATATGGCTGGGGATGTAGTTAAGTGGTAAAGAGTCCCCGGGTTTATTCCTCAGTACCACACACACAAAGATTTTGGTCAAATTAATTCTACTAATTCCTAATTGTCCTAAGCTACTGAGCCCAGAGTAAACAAAAAGGCTCATCACGTCACCAGGAGATGAACTCTGCTCCTAGACCTTACCCGAGAAGAGAACCTGGATCTTTTGTTTTTGTCCCCTGAGAGTCATAAACAGTGTCTCCACCTCATCTGCCTGGGGAGCAGCCTCAAGGGAAACACTGGCACAGGCTCCATCTTGGCTGAAGCTCAGCCACTGCTTCTACCCGCAGAGGACATGAAGGGTAACTGAATATTCTGTCCCCGGAGTATTTATTTTTGCTCTGCTGGTTTTGATTTCATGACAAGTGAGTAGCCAAAAATAGTCTTAAAGGTCATAAATTTTATTCCATAATAATGTAGACCCCACCTCCAAGTCTGAACCTTGACAATCTTATGTGTGTTGAGATGGATGTCAGGATGATAATGGATTGCAGAATCGGTGCTAAGGAATGGGGGAAGAAAAGCACTTAGAAATCTAGGGATCCTAGCTCAGGATTCAGTCCTTTTAGGTGAAGAATAAAGTTAATCGTTAAGTCACACAGGAGGAGATTCATTAAAAGTTCTGCTTTATTTGAATTTAGCACCAGGAACCCTATGAAGCTTGTGGGTAACACTTTGTGAATGGAGTAGGAAAGTTTCATTCATTCTTTCCAAAACATCTCATTTTTTGCCTTGAAGCCTGGTTAGCCACGTGCACATACATAACCCATTTTTCCTATTTCTCCTGGCACCAGGTGTCATTCAGACAAGGTATGGTCACCATCCCCTGCTTCACAGAGGAACTTCAAGGGGTCTGACTTCAAGCACCAGAATGCCCTGGAGACATTTTAAGAACACAGATTCTGGGCCCTCCCCAGAGATTCCCATTTGATTGGTATGGCACTGGTAGTCTTAAAAGTTCCCCAGGTATCTATAATACAAAGCCAAAGTTGAGAACTACCAGTTTAGGGTAAAAGGAACTTCTTTAGGAAACTAAATTTTGAAATGACTGTAATTACCTTTGGACCCAAGTTTCTTCTGTACCAGTGTCTCATAAACTTTCCCTTGCATCACAGTCATTTGGAGGACTTGTTAAATAAGATACAAAGTTTGGGGTCTCACTCCCAGACTTACAAATTTGCATTCCAGCAAGCTCTTGGCTACTACCCTGCTGGTGGCCTCAGGAACACACTTGGAGAACCACTGTTGGCTATGCTATCACCCAAAGTTCTGCTGCTCTTATTCTGTATGTCAATCTAGGACCGATGGTTCAAAAAAACAGAAGGCAGGGAAGGGATATAACTGCCTTCCTATGTAATATGTTCTCTTAACTTCAAACACTCCTGTCCTCTGAATGTGAGATGTGTGGGAGGAAACACCACAACCCCCAAGGAGAGAGTTGCTTCTGCTGAAAGATTAACAGCACCAAATGTGAATCTAGCACTGAGTTGGTTTTGACAGTCTACACATTGCAGAGAACTGAAACCCCACAGGGGCAGGACCAGCAGGAAAGAATTCACACGTATTAACCACCGTGTCTAGCTACAAATCCACATCAAGCGGACAGACATCTTAGGAGATTAAACAGAGAACTAAAGGAAGCACAAGAAAGTCAAGCAAACCTCCTGCTTTTTTGCAAACAATCAAGGCCTTAGAAGCTGCTGATAATGAAGAAATTTGCTAACAAAGGCAATGAGTGAAGATTTCCAAAACCTAACATTTTTATTTAAAAAATCACCTTAGCTGTACATTTTTTTTTTTCTTTCTAGGGCATTTCTTCTATTTTTGTGACTCCCAGAAGGCTCTCAGGAAGGCATGGAGTCCTGCCCCTAAAGGGTATTTTAGAAATTTTTGGAGTTTTTCGTTGTTACAAAGATCAAGATGCTCCTGACCTTACTGGGCTCTGCCCAAGGAGACTAGGTCCCACAGAGCCAGGGGTAGTCCCAAAGAACTGACTGTCCTGGGTCTAAGAGAAAAACCCATCTATATAGAAATCTGTGCCTAGAACCCAACAGTGTTTTACATATAAATAGAGAATGATTTTTGGCACAGTTGTAATGTACAATGAATTTCCTACAAATGCAATTACAGTGAAAATAGAGAGAAATTGGTACTTACGTCCACTGTTTGAGAAAATGATATAACATTGCATTGCCAAAACACACTTGTGTCCATCTGCATTTCGGGTTGTGGCATTGACAGTCATTCAACTACCCCACATGAATTTGACTTTATTATGTTTTCTAATGCATCAGGCTAAACATTTATATATGAGATTCATATTTTACTATAAATTACTTTCATTTTATTTTTCCTTTATGTTACAGTTGAGGACTATATTGATTTTTTAAATCAATAACCTACCTGTCTAGGTAGATTATATTATCCTTTTCTCCTCCCAGCTTTCTAATTATAAGTTTCAGATATTTACAAATTAAATGAACAATGAACATTCATATACCCATCAGTATATTGTGTCTTAATTTCCAACCAGGATTTTTGTTATTTAAATGGGGTATTTAGTCTGAGGGGCTCAAATCAGCAGCACAGATGCTTGTGAGATTATAACCTCCTAGAACCATACACTCATGCACTATGAATTAGCCCAGTGTTTGTTTCTCTGAGGTCACAGAGCCCAATGTACTTTTTTTCAGTGCTCTTCTCCTTTGGGGGTTCTTTTTTGTTTGTTTGTTAGGATCTATTAAAACCTTGGTGGGGTCCTTGGTGAACAGGGGGACTGATCATTTATAATTCAGAGCCTATCATACTCTGGCCCCACCTATGTCTCCACCATGTTTCTTCCCCCTTTGGAGTGTACTGGAAGCAGGAATATACATCCCTATTGGTCATCACTTCCCGGACCTCAGAGTCCTGCCCCTACCTCTCTGTTGAAATCCAAATTGTTCCTCAGGACCTGATTCAATTGTCATCATCCCTGTCAAACCTGCTTAAAGCCCCTAATGGGCAGCAATGCCAATATGGCACTCTGCTCACGGCTCATCACAACACATTTCCTGGGCAGACCTGGCACTGTTTCTATGTGTGTGTGTGTGTTTGCCTCCCAGATTGGACTGGATGGTCCTTGAGAGACAAGTGTCAGTCATCTTTGCATCCTCTGTGCTTAGCAACACCCCATACACAGAGGGAGCCTCAGTCAATAACTTCCTGAATTTGACTGATGGTTTAAAGTAGAAGAGAAACTAATAGTGCATGACCATAGAGGCTGATTCATGTGTCTTCAAAAGTCCAGGCTTGTTTAAACCCATAACAGGTACTATCCATCAAAAAAATGTTCTACTCACCAGTTCTGGCTTAGAGAGATGTGGAAGCTATCAAAGAAAATTGATCAGTTTATAAAATATTTGTGGCCCTGATGGTCTATGAGAACAAAACACAATCAATACCATTATTAGAAAGAACCAAAGGATTATAAAACAGATATATAGGTTTGGGATTAAAATATTTTCAAAGGATACATGAACATCTTGAGAGAGATAGATCTTTTCTTATCTTTGTAGTTCCCTTTGCATATCTTGATATTGGGGCACATCATAGGCATTCAATTTTGTTCTGGATTGAATGATGTGCATGGAGGAGTCACATTTTATTAGTTTATATTGAGTAGTACAAAGAAAAAATGCATCTCCCTGTCCTGGGTCTTGCAGTAAAAGCCTTTAATAGGTCCAAAGAAATTATACTTGTGCACTGACCAGAACCATTTGCAAAGCTATGACCAAACAAAGTACAGCTGGGCACAGTCCGAGCTGCAGAGCCTGTCTCCAGGGCGAGACCACTCTGAACATAGCCTGTCCTTGCCATCATCGAATAATGTGCAACATCCCAGGGCTCTAATGTTAGCATCTGTTGGACATTCAAAAGGACTTGCAAAGTGCGTTTGGTGCCAGCAAGATGAGTGCTTTCATTTAAATGAAAAACATCTTTAGTTTTTCTCATCACTCAGAAGATGGGTCAATGAGATGTTTGTGGACCAATAAACTATCGGAAGAGACATTATTTTCAAGAGCTCTTTTTCATTATGAAGTTTCACCTACTCCATCTTCAGATTTTTATTTTTTTATTTTTAATTTTTTATTGTGGGTTGTTCAAAACATTACAAATTTCTTGACATATCATATTCCACACTTTGATTCAAGTGGGTTATGAACTCCCACCTTCACCCCATACACAGATTGCAGAATCACATCAGTTACACATCCATTGATTTACATATTGCCATACTAGTGTCTGTTGTGCTCCGCTGCCTTTCCCATCCTCCACCCTCCCCCTCCCCCATCTTCAGATTTAATAGGAGAACCCAAATAGTGAGGCCTCTTCCTCATTGCAGAATGTGAAAGAGAATAAGATATTTATGTTGGCCAATGGGAAATTAGTCTGGAGTGACACTTTGGATGGTAGTAGATGTAGGCTGAAGCATCACTAACTAGCTTAATATCTCAAATAGCCTGTAAATTAATTTTTTGTGGTAAAACAAAACAGTATTCGTTTTCAAATGGAATTTGAATGATTTTTCAGTAATAGGTCATGGCTAGAGAACACAAACTATAAAATAGATTTTGCCCATGCTCATTTCTGTATTAAATGGAAAAATATGTAAGTAGATTCTATTTGTTGTTGATGGGACTATGAGATCCTTAAAATTTCCTTCCTCTCTAGAAATTCAGATTTCAGACCTTGCAACATTCTAGGATACATTTTATTTATTATGTTACAGAAGACTGCTTGAAAAGAAATAGTTCTTTGAAGTCTTTCTGCCAAGACTTTATATAATTCTAAGAACTTGCTCTTTTCAATTGTGATTTTTTCCATTTTTTGTAAATATCAAGTTTTATTTTGACTTCTCGGCCCATATCTTTTATTTTCTAGAAGAAGAAAAATTTGTTTTTCAAAGTAGTTTTCCCAAGTGCATGGGTTTATGAATTTGACAGTGTTTTTTAATCTTTTTTACTTTTGGAGACAGAATTTTACTATAGTACCCAGTCTGGCCTCCAACTCCAGAGCTCAAGCAATCCTTTTGCCTTAGCCTCCTTTTAACTGGGACTAAAAGTATGCATCACTGTGCCCAAAGGTGTTATTACTATTGTTTCATATTGTCTTTTTTTCCATGGAAGTGTGGTCCTTTCCTTTTGAAAATCTGAAGAACAAAGTATGTGGTCCTTTCTCAGAAGGAATATGCTACATGCTACATGCTGATTAGTGGCACTAATACTACTGTAAAGAACAGTTACCATGTGAGTGTGTGAGAGAGATGCTGTGTCTCCTTGAATTAGAAAAGTCTCCCAGGCTTGCCTGGTTAAACTCTCTAAATGCATGAAATATACTTACATTCTGGAAATCATTAACTTCAATTGCTTCTTCAGCTCCACTTCCCATTTTAAAGGTCTCCAAGTTGTTCCCAGCATCTATTTCCATTGATCCATCTTGTAATTTCCCATTGATACTCATAGTATAATGGACATTGTAAATCTAGAAGTGAACATAAGAGTTAGTAGTGCTTTCTTTTTCTAGCAATTCAGGGTTTGTCTTTAGAACTGCAGTGTGTGACGTAGCTTTCAAACTTTTCAGAGACATATGGAATCATCCTTAATAGTAATGCATTAATATATGAGGACTTCATCTATATACCAATCATGTAATACAGTGATATCTGCTATTTGCAATCCTGGCTGCACATCAAGAGCACCTGGGTAGACTCTCCAGGTAGCATGCCTGGGTTTCACCCAGGACCAATCAAATCAAAACTTATGAGGATGGGGTTTGAGTAATGATCTCTCTTTTCTAAAGCTCGTTCTATCATGCAGCTGGGTTGAGAATCAATGATGGATAAAAAGGAAATTGAGAAGTGAGAGTCAACTGGGTTTTCAGTTGAAGAAGTCTGTTTGCAGTGGCACCTGTTTAAAAATTGATCTTTTAAATCCTTTGGTCAAGATGAGGCATGGAATATGGCATATATTGGACTGGAGACAGGACTAGGATATATCAACACAGAACGGTACTTGTAAAGAGCATGGTCAAGGTACATATCTATTCTGAGTCAGAAGAGAAATACTCCACACTATGGGATGAGTGTATGATATTGTAGTGCATATTATTGGATGAACCATGTAACATGTATGGGAGAGGGGAGCCCAGAAGAGGACTGGTCCAGGAATCAGAAAAATAGCCAGCCATGCCACATATCCCTGGGTCTTGGAAGTTTCCTGGAATATAGAATGAAGAAGTTGGACTCATAGGTGGTTTTAATCTATGTACCTAGAATTCTGGCACTTCACAGGCATGGCCCAGAGCTGAGGGTGGTGAAGCAGGTGGAACTGTGATGTTCCTTCCCTGTCTACCCATAATCTAGCCAGAGCAGTTCTGCTTTTTCTCTGGTGTGTGTGTGTGTGTGTGTGTGTGTGTGTGTGTGTGTGCGTGCACATTATATTTCTGAGTAAGGTTTTGCTAGAAAAATTTCACCACTTAAAAACATGTTTTTGTTTTTGCCACTAAATTAAATGATCCAGAGGGCTTCCTTAACTTTTTTTTGTTGTTTTTGATACTGGGGTTTGAACCCAGGGCCACTTAACCACTGAGTCACATCCCCAGCCCTTTTTAATATTTTATTTAGAGACAGGGTTTCACTGAATTGCTTAGGGCCTTGCTGAGTTGCTAAGGCTGGCTTTGAACCCATGATTCTACTGCTTCAGCCTCCAGAGCCACTGGGGTTACAGGCCTGTGTCACCACGCTGGCTCTTAGATATCTTATTACTGTGCTGGTTTAAAAATAATTCATTTGCTGTTCCTGCTCAGTGTGCTGCTGTCCTACTAGATTTGTGTGCAGCAGAGATAGTACCGGGGCTTTTCTTCTTTCTTTTTTTGGACTTAGAGGCATGTCTATAGCTACTTATCTTTATCTATCTATTTTATATATGATGAATATAAATTCTGTGTGAAGACACATATGCATATGTGTACATTTTCAAAGAGGATGGACTAAGAACTGATGAAAGACAGTTTGTACCTGATGTCAGGCCAGCCAGTCAGAACTGCAAATAGCTCCCATTTAATTCAAGCCTGATTTTTCTCCCTCATTATGAAGAGTCACTGTCACATGGAAAAGCACTGGAAAACCTATCTGTTCTATCTGTTGTTATTGGATCATTACTTGGAGAAAATTCATTAGTACAAGACCTACAGAGTACTATTTTATTCTATCATCAGAGATGTAGAAATGGCTTTGCCATCCCCCACCCTTTTAGGCAGCAGCATTCATTTAGCAGGACAGAAAACATCAGCATCTAGCTTAGCCTGACCATCTCAACCGCCCCCCTTCTCTCCTTCTAAGGCACTCTGATGCCTGTGGTTCATTGTCTCCCACTCTGGCCCCATCAGAGGAACCACTTCTAGGGGTTCTGATTTAGTAGAGCTGGAGCAGAGCCCACCAATCTGTTTTAGCTTTGTCCCTCCGGTGGTCCTTATGTGCAGCCAAGTTTGGAAAACCTGTTTTCTTTGGCTAAGTCAGTGCTTTCTGCAGGTCAGGCTGAGAAAGCAGGCTCTGTTCTGGCCAGTGCTCTCTGAGGAGTCACTGTTCACATGGCTGGAATGATGACTGTCGAAAGGAGCCTGGCAGACAAGACCCCTATGAGTTCCTGCTGGCAAGAATGTCCTCCACTCAGGTGACAAGAGGCTTTTTTCCCCTTCATTTCAGCATTGCACATAAGCATTTACTGTAAAGCAATGCAACATTTAAGAACTTAACCATTTCCAAATTCTTCACAGTTCTTCAGAAGGCAGGATTATAACACAGAAGACTGGCCTGTGGTCTTCTAATTTCATTATCCCACCCCCAACAAATGCTGACTAATTAGGTATTGTATCCTTTGGAAAACAGCATCAGCCCATCTTTTTGTTTTATTTTGTTTTGTTTGGATACTGGGGATTGAACTCAGGGGCACTGAACCACTGAGCCACATCTCCAGCCCTATTTTATATTTTATTTAGAGACAGGGTCTCACTAAGTTGCTTAGGGCCTCGCTGTTGCTGAAGCTGGCTTCGAACTCATGATCCTCCTGCCTCAGCTTCCCAAGTTGCTGGGAACTTTATTGTATTTTATTTAGAGACAGGCTCTCACTGAGTTGTTTAGGGCCTTGCTAAATTGCTAAGGTTGGCTTTGAACTCCTAATCTTCCCGCCTCAGCTTTCCAAGCTGCTGGGATTACAGTTTACCATGTCTGGCACATCAGCCCATCTTGTATGCATAGTATACTATTTTCATGGCATCAGCAGTGAGAAGCCTGAGCCCTCCTAAAGCTCTCCTGAACAGGGGCAGGGGTAGCGCAGGATGGGAGCCAGTCTGCAGTTTCCAAAGTTCTGGGCTCTGAGCTGGGGAGGAAGCTGGGCTGCTGGAGAAGCAATATATTATCTACTCTAAGCTCAGGGAGTTGTTGGCACCTAAGGCTATTTCTATCCAAGTACAATGAAGTATATTATTTGCCAAAATTCTGCTCAATATGGTGCCTTTTACAGCCAAGGATATTTGTTAATCAGTTTTTAATAAGGCCTAGGTTCTATAAGATTAATTACATAATGTTTGGGAAAATGTCTAAAAAAATTAGTCTGAGAAGAAAGTCCTTGAGCAATGGTCTCCTCCCCTCATCCCACAGGGTGGGGTTGTCAGTTCACATTGTTGGGAATTTCCCATATGTCAATGACTTGTTCCATTTACAATAATGTGGATGAAAAATGGCCTCAATCTTTGAGCCCAGTCAGTTATCCCCTGATTATTAGTACCCCGTGCTTCATTGTCCTCCAGCCAAATTTCAGCCCTGTCCTCAGGGACTTACCCATCTGAAAGGGAGAATAAGTGAATTATAGCTGGTTTTCCTTTGAAAATTGGCGTAGAGCAGCTGAGGCACAGCTAATCCCCAAAGAGAGACAATCCATTTAGTTTGATATGTCTTTCTGCTTGACGAAGACTTACCTTTTTTGATTATGTTTTGTTTGGGTGATTTAGATTTGTATTTAGGGAAGGCAAAACCTGTGCATGTGCTATGCTTAGATGGTGCCAAGTTTAGTCTGTTCTGAATTTTGTAGTTTGTTTTTCAGACAAGTAATATGGATTGACATAGGGCATTTTGAGAATTAAAAAAAAAAAAAACTTCCATGATTTTCTTCATTCTCCTGTCTGTGTAGGCAATAGAAATAACTTTGATTCTTGGCAATAAAATATGATTTACTATTCCTTTGTATTCTTAGAATTTAATACTCTTCTTTTGAACCAGACAACCAAACATCTTGCAGTGAAGTGGAAGAAAAAAAAAGAGAGACTCATTTATTTATTATGATTATTCAAACTCTCTTAGAATCTTGTCAATCAGCTGTGTTGGTCTTGAATAATTAAATGCTGAATGATATTTCTTTTATATAAATCATGACCAAACTATATACTAAAAGAATTAAAAAGCAAAGCTATTTTTATTCCCAAATGGCCTGTACTATTGAGGTTTTGCTATCAAAAGATAGCATTTATATTCTAATACCATCAGATTTCCCAAAGGGATGACAATCTAAACCCTGCTACTAATGGAGATGTAGATATTGAAAACGTTCTCAGGTTCAGATTTGCTGCTTTCAAATATGAGCATCTGGCCCAGCTTCTATATTTAAAATACAAATACATTAAGGCACTTTTCAAATCCGCACAAAATACAGTGCAATTCTGATCTTACAAATTGATGCTTGTAAATTTGATATAGTCTCTAAAACAGACTCAGTGCTAAATGGCATGCTTATCTACATTAGGCATTTGAGTTAAAAATACAAATTATGCAGTGACTGCAGAAGATGTGATGTGTAAAATGGTTGAATTGCTTTCAGCACCATTTTCTCTAAGTACTGGAATTCGTTCATGCTTTGAATTTCATGGTGGGAGAGGGGGAAAAACAGCAGTTACAGATCCTAGGAGGACAGTGATTAAGAAAGAGCCCTTTGTGTATACCCTGGAGATGGAATTCTTTTCCATTAGTTGAAATAAGCTTATACTAGACCTGGCAATGGTCATCAAGATAAAATGCCCCCTTTTACATAGGTGAACACATTCAGGTATTTAGAGAACACACTGGAACTCTGCCCAGTCAAGTTAGAAGCAGCTTTTATATTCCTTGAGAGCTCATGGAGCTTTAACATAAATAGTAGAAGGTAGGACAGTAGTTTGTGAAACATATACCATTAAATCACATGTGACTAGGCCAGAATAGATTCTCAAAGAGATTTGCCACTATTAAGTAAGTTACTCTTTTCTTTCTTTTTATTTATTTTTCTTTTCTTTTTTTTTTGAGAGTGAGAGAAAGAGAGAGAGAGAGAGAGAGAGAGAGAGAGAGAGAGAGAGAGAGAGAGGGGGGGGGAGGGAGAGGGAGAGAGAGAGAAGGGAGTGTTAGTAAAAAATAGGTCACAAAACCCTCCTGAAAGATCAAATTCACACCCAAGTAGGGGTTGGCTGTTTCTCCACTCCCTTTGTCCTAGGTCTTTAATTTCTACTCTTTCTCAGCTGGAAGAGGTCTTAGAGGTCATTCAGTTCCATTTCTTCCTTTAAGAAAGAGGAAACCAAGCTCAGAGAGGTGAGATTCCCTACGCATGATCACACAACTGCCTAGTGTAAGCCCCAGGCCAAGGGGGGCCAACAGCTTTCCTGAGAAGCTCCACTGCTCTTCGTTTCTATATTCTTTGTTAAAACTTTGACTTGCTATGATGCTTAAAGTGAGTAGAAATCAGCATAGCCAAGTTGGATGGAAGAACGGAGAAGGTATCCCTAGAGGACCAGCTGGCCACTGAGTTGGCACTTCACAGACCAGTGCTCTAGCTCCACCTAGCGGGGAACTTGAACGTAACAGAAAGGACCCCGCCACCCCGCGCGCCTCCTGACCCTGCGCACCCCCACTCCGGTTTGTGCCTGGCGCTTCGTTCTTTGGACTCACATGATTGTCACTCCCCTTCCAGAAGTAGAAGGCCCCGATGGCACCGAAGAGCAGCAACACCGCCCCCGAGATGAGGACCACGGCTCCGACCTTAAGCAGTCTAGCGGGGCTGGAGGGCTTCACGGTCACTGTGGCATAGGCCTGCGGGCGGAGGTGGAGAAGGACCAATCGTGTCTGCGTGGCTCACACCTCGCCATCCCAGTGTTGCGTCCCCAGGGAATCAGGGGAGTTGGTGAGAAACAGCCTGTCCTGAGCTCCCTCAAGGGTCTCTTTCTCCTTGTTCCCTTCCAAGGGTCCCTTGTTCTCAGGCTTGGAAGTGTCATCAGCAAAGTTTTCGCCGTGCAGAGTCACTGCCCTGCGGACTGCATTCTCCGCAGCCACGGGATGCCCTCCTCACGCCTTTCTGTGGATCACGAGCCCCTTGCACACTCACGCGTGGGGCGCCACCCCACGCACACATTTGGGCACCCAAATCCCCCTCCCCCTCCACACCACTCAACAGCACAAATCCCCTATTCCTCTGTGGGTCCGGACACTCATGAGCAGCCCGGGCCCAAAGACTAACCCGCCAGCAGGACTGAGGATCCCGGGCTGTACTCACCGGGGGACTGCAAAACTCAACGTCCTCAGGCCCCACCAGGGTGATCGGAACTTTGTCGGAGTTCTCTGCCATGGCTGCGGCGGGAGGAGCAAGACTCTTGGAAACTTTGCGCGCACTCTGGGCTCTGTCCCGCTGCCCCGACGTGCCCGGCAATTCAACACAGCGCGCGCACTGTCACGGGCCAGCTCCGCGGTCCCCACCCCTTCCAGAGCCTCACCTTTCTCCTCCCTTCTCTCTCCCGCCCCGGGGCAGCAGTAGGAACTCGTCCTGCATTCTCATTCTCAGACGTCCCCCTTTCTCACTCTCTTCTATACAATGGCCACCAAATAACATCCAGATAAATCTGAGTAAGGGTGAATGTATCCCCCAGAGCAGGAATGCTGAGTTCTGCGATTCCAAGAAATACTAAATTGCCAGGGCAATAAGCCGCCTACCCAAGGATCTCTTAAAATGTCAGATGCTCTGCCATGACATCTGACCGGAAGCCATTTTCCACTGAGTCTTCCTTTATGTGTGTTGTGGTGCCGGTGGAAGGGGACCAAGAAGAGAGCAGGGCTGTGCAGGTGGATGGGGAACACTGGTCTAACAGTGCCAAGGTGAGGACACCTTTCCACCGGCTTGATGTTGCTGGATGGCTCCTGGGACTAGGGCATAGTGCAGGGCCTTGGATCGCCTTCTCTGGGTGTTCCTGCAGCAAAAGTGAGGCCAAGCCAAGAGTATTGGAGAGAAGGGGCCTGGGAGACCAGAATAAAAGTGCATTCTGGGCCCAGCGCGGTGGCACACGCCTATAATAACAGCAGCTAGGGAGGCTGAGGCAGGAGGATCTTGAGTTCAATTGCAGCCTCAGCAACTTAGTAAAGCCCTGAGCAATTCAGTTAGACCCTGTCTTTAAATAAAATATAAAAATGGACTGGGGATGGGCTCATTGGTTAAGCCCCTTGGGTTCAATTCCTGGTCCTCCCTTCTCCCCCAAAATGCATTCTGGTGAATTAAGTTAAACCAACAAGAAAAAAACAACGTGGCAGGGCTGGGATTGTGGCTCAGGGGTAGAGCGCTTGCCTTGCACACATGAGGAAATGGGTTCAATCCTCAGACCCACATAAAAATAAGTAAATAAAATAAAGTTATCATGTCTATCTACAACTTTAAAAAATATTTAAAAAAACCACAAACCATGGCAAGTATGACTCCTTCAACACTGATGTGTCCAAAGGAATGAGGAAACTATATATGTGTACATATATGTACCTGTGTATAGGTGGGAGGACTTAGCTTTCTTACCTGAAATGGGGCAGGGGTTGTATTTCCCTTTCACTTTTGGGGATGCCGTCTGCCCTAATACTAGGATGATATGACATCTCTTTTGGATTGAGGCTTCCTTAATTCAAATTGGGTTCCAGCTGTATGCAGAGCCCTTTCTGAGGAATGTGGGGGCTGGTGCATGGGAAGAACTGAGGTTTCTCAGGGAAGAGGGAGATTGGATATCCAGGGCTACAGCAGGAGAAATAGAAGACTATCACAGAAGACTGTTGTGAAGGAATGCTAATGACCAGGATGTCCTGGCTCATTGGCAACAATCATGATGCAGGCTGGGAGAGATTGAGGTTTCAGATCTGGGTGGATTAAGAAGCAGTAGGAGCCCAATGGAGGACAGAAGTTGGCAGGAGCACTTCTCAGGTATGTTGAGGTTGATGAAATTTTTCATAACATGTGAGTTATGAAAAAGGAGGAGTCTGGGGGAAGTACTGGGCCTGCAGTACTTGTGTGCACATCCTATTAAGGTTAAGATATCGGGAAAGCCTCCAGGAGAACTCCAGACAGGGCTCCTCTTGGGCACCGCTGAGACAGAGTTCAAAGGTCTCCTTTTGCAAGGGCATTTGTCACAGGAATTTTAGTGAAGGAGTAACAGAAGTAACAGAGTGGGAGATGACCAAAGACAAAGTAGTACAGATAATTTTTTTTTAAAAAAAGCATTAGCGAAAAATGGGGCCGTGGTGTCAAATGCAGAAAAAAAAAATGAACACACAAAGAGGACTTTGAATTTCATAGTTGGGAGGCAACCAATAGGATGATAGTTGGATTTATTTTAGTGGGCACAGAAGACATATGGCAAAGGGTCACAGAGCGACTAAAAATATTTGCAACACATACCACAAGCAAGGAACTAATTTTCTAATATAGAGTGTTCCTAAGAATCATTAAAAGATTTTTTTTTTAAATGGGCAAAGGATCGGGACAGACAATTCACAGGAGAAGAAACACAAATGGCTCTTAAGCTTAAGAAGAATGCTTGACTGCTTTCATAAAAGGAAATGCAAATTAAAAGTATACTTTTTCACCTATCAGGCTGGCAAAAATAAAAACATTTGTTACAAAAATCTGTTGGGGAGTGTGGGGAGGAAAGAAGGCCTTCTTGCATCTTGCTGTGGGTGGATGAATTGGTACAACTTCTATAGAGAGCAATTTAATCCTAAACTGCAAAATGCAATTTCATTTCTATGGATTTATCCTACAGATGCACTCACAAGGGTGGAAAAATCTTATATGTATAAGGATGCTCACTTCAGTATGTTTGTTAGAACAAAGAACTAGAAATATCCTCGATGTCCAGAGTAGAAAATTCATGGTATGTCCCCACAGTGGGTTCTCAGCAGCCATTTAAAAGAATGAGGCAGCTTTGGATATACTGGTGTAGAAAAACCTCAAAGGTACTTTAAGTTAAAAAAGCAAAGGGTAGAACACGTGTATAAAATTTTCCACTTGTATAAAAATACAAACAGGAATATGTGTATGCATATGCTCTTTGGAAAGATAAGCAAGAAGTTGGTAGTGGGGGTTTCCTCTGAGGAGAATGTAGGACTTGGAGGATGGGTGGAAGGAAGATACTTCTCTGTGTACCTTCTGGAATGTTTTGAATTTTGAATTGTGAGCATATGTCAACTATTCAAAAAACGAGTGCATAGGGCTGGGGTTGTAGCTCAGTGGTAGAGCACTTGCCTAGCATGTGTGAGACACTGGGTTTGATCCTCAGCACCACATAATGAAAAAAAATAAAAATAAATAAATAAAGGTTCATCTACAACTAAAACTATTTTAAAAAATGAGTGAATAAAATAATAAACTACCATGAGTGGGTGGCAGAAAGTGAATGCTGCAAATGGAGCTCTTTCAAGAACTTTGGCATTGAGAGGAAGAAGAAAATGTCAGGAGGATACATCAAAGTAGTTAGAGGACTGAGAGGGTTCCAAATCCCATTAGGGCTGGAAAGACATTTGAAGGCTACAGGGAAGGGGCAAGATGACAGAAAGATGGGGAAGGAGGGACTGGACCCAAAGCAAGCAGGATGAACTTTGAGAAATAGAGAAGGAACTGGAGGGAGCAAGTGAAGAATGGATGCCCTGGGTACACATGAACCTTGAGGAGAGGGTGAGGAGTTGGGGTGGGCAGGAACGCAGTGCTAAGAGCCACAGCCAAGTAATATGATGCATGGCATTTTTGGTTGAAAGGTGATGCCAGCAAGCCATTGAGATGATATGATTACGTTAAGATTTGCATTCATATGGATATTAGACCCCTGCTGTCCACCTCGGCCTGCTACCGGACTCCTGGAGAGTTCCCATTGGTTGGGGAAATGCGGTAGGAGGGAATTCCAGAGGAGGAACTTCCTCTTGGGATCCGGGAGAACGCCACGTGCGTCGGTGGGCAATCTTCCCGGGAGCGTAAGGGGCATTGGCGGCAGTTTCAAAAATAAAGTTTGTTCCTGCTTAAGTGGCTTGTGATTTTGTGCCCAGCCAGACTGCGGCAACGTAGGACCTTGCCTCTTCATGTTTTCTCAACAAACCATACTCAGAAAAATAGCTGTCTAGGGCATGAGGGTAGGGGACTATGCAGGGAGACCCATTGCCAAAGTGGGATATTGTCAACCACCCAAATGTAATGTGTTTATAGGATAATGGCTAAGAGGGATAAAAGGCAGTAGAAAAAGTAGCAAGGAAGCAAGATTGGGAGGCTGATGGAGAATGGGGTCAAAGGTGTCCCCATTTCAGAGGCTTGCTTCCTACTATCCACCTTCAGCTGGACCCACTTTACTGGCACATTCTCTGGGGGTTAGAAACCAACTCTTCTCTCATATCAGGCACTGGCTAGGTCTGGGTGCACAGTAATGAGCAAATGAGACATGGTTTCTGCTCTCAATGAGTTTACTGAACTAAATAGTGGAAAATAATCACTAAGCAGGTCATCTCAAAATAATGATGTCATTGTATTTGAGATGCACAAATACAATGAGAGAAAAGTACAAGAACCCTAATATCCTATGACATCTAATTTGCCCTGGTTGGGGAAGGGGACAGCACCCATGGAAGTAGCAATTAGGGATATTTGGGGTTCGAGACAGGGAAAAGACACAATCAGGATTGCATTTAAAAAGCATCATTTTGGCCACTGTGAGGTAGAATGACCAAATGGAAGGAGACAAGAGTGAAAGGGATAGATTATCTTAAAAGTATAGATTTTTTTAGGCTCTGGCAGTGGTCCAGGTGAGAGGTGATGGTGGTCAGAACTAGATTAATTGTAAATGACAGAGGTGGAAAGGAATGAAGGAATTTGAGATCAATGTTGAAGGTAGAAATAACAATCCCTGGAGATTGAGTATGAGATATATATGGGGGTGGGGACAGGAGTCAGAATAATACCCCTCCACACACATATCAACCCAAACAACTGGATACATGTAAAGGACTCTGAGAAGCACTTCTCAAAAAAGCAGAGAAGACTATCTACTGAGATGAAGAGGCTGGGGTTGATTAGGGATTGTGCCAAGTTGATAACAGCGGTATGAGGGATATAATGTGGAATTACAAGAGCGGTGTTGAGTTGGAGCTGGAGAACATGAAGGGAGAAGATGGGTGCTCTTCAGCATGGAACAAACACAGCTACATCATGATGTAGTGTGGTAGTTGGGTATTGAAGAGGTATTAAGAAGGGCAGAAAATCAGGGTCTGGGTGATTCAAGATGGCCTTGGAAGGGAGGTCTGTGAAATGAGAAGGGGCTAATGAACTACAAGGAGCAG